TAATTTTAAATTATTTTATTTATTTATTCGAATTTAAAATTTTGATATAGTTTTTAGTTTTAATTTTCACAAAAAAAATTTGTAAAATAATTAAGTTTTACAGTTTTTCAAATTAAGTTTTTTTTTTTAAATAATTAAAATTTTAAGGAAATATTGAAATTATTAAAAATAATTGAATTTTCGTAGAGTTACAGTTGAAATTTTTAGAAATAATTTAATTTCAAAAGATTTTGTTAACTATCAGACAATAATAATTAAATTTTACAGAATTGAAAATAATTTATCAAATAAAATTTTAGATAACATCAAAAAAAAAAAAAAAAATAATTGAATATTTTTGAAAGTAATTGAATTTCTAAATGAGTTTTTTAATTGAAATTTTTAGAGATTTCTGTTGCTGAAGAATTTATTAAAAATTGAAGAAAAAAATGGAATTTTAAAATTTTTAAATAAAAAATTGAATTTGTAAAGAACTTTATTAAAATTATTTAAAATAATTAATTTACCGAAAATTTTTAATTAAAAATTTTTTTAAATTATTCAATCCGAATGTTATACGTATTGCAATTTCACCAAATTATTATTTAACCGAATTGTCATTTTTTTTTTTAGAAATTTAATGACTATTAAGAAGAAATTTAATTTACTGAGGTTTATTATGTTAATTAATTATTTAATTGAATTTAACGATCTATTCGGTTAAATAGTCATTAGCTTAAATGGCAAGTCGGTTAAATAAAAATTATGTTAAGTGTGAATTTGTTAAAATGGAAATTTTTGTTAAATTGAAATTTTTCTATGGGATTAGAAAAATATTATTATTAAATTAATTGTCAATTTAAAATGAATAACAGTTTGGTTACAAATAGTTATTAAAACTTAATTATTATCTATCACAAACAGAATGATAAAGAAATAAAATTGAAAAATTTTCAAAAACCTAACCTATAAATTGAAACTATTATTTATTTAATATAACTATTGTTAAAAAAAAAAAGTTATAAATAGAAAATAATTCATTATAATAATAATTAATTTTAAAAAATTATAAACCGACAATTTAAAATATAAAAAGGAATTAACGAATTCCTGTTTTATGATTTTATACAGATATACTTTTAAATTAGTGTGAAAAAATAAAATGTCAATAAAAAATCAAAGAAAGAAAAAATGTGTATCAACTCACAGCTTCTTTCCATCAAAAATCAATCAGTAGTGAAGCACCCCCCCCCCCCCCACACACACACACTTACTCTTGTTCGAGTTTCTGAAATACACCGCTACCTGCCGCTTCTTTGTTTAGATATTATTATGTGTAAGCAAAGAATATATAGCATTCGTGCAGGTAAAAAGAAATACCGGCTTTTATATACATATGTATGTATAGAAGGGAGAAAAAGAATGGAATTCGAGAAAAATTGTAAAGGTAACGTTTTACGTAACAAGATTCTCGTAATCGTGTAATTTCTTTTCCCGGCTTTACAGGCAAAGTGATTATATATTTCTATATAAAATGGCCTCGATTTATTCTTATCGTATATGTCAAAAAGCAAGAGAGAGAGAGAGATAGATAGAGATAACACATATTTTGTTGTCAAAAAAAAGCACGCACGAAAAAAATAAACTTACGTGTGTCATTCAATTTTTTATACAAATAATTATCATTATTATTATAATATATATAGTAAAAGAAATAATTTACTTACAATTATAACAGCAGTTGTGATGTTAATAAAAATTCTCGTAACTGAACAGGAATTTGGAGACGAAAAGTTATTATACAGATTCACACACAACACAATTCACTATATATATATATATGTATATATAATATTCACTTTTTCGATGATAAAAATGTCACATGCACTTAATAAAGATCACACTAGTGTGATGTTTAATGAAAAGAAGACTGCAAATTTACTATTACTAATCAAAACTTGAAATTGAATCTAGTAATGTGTAAATTTTATTTGTAATTAGTTTAAAACATTTATTGAGATGAAAAAAGAGCCCGGGACACAATCAGGAATCAGTTGTCATAAACACTAGGGCGCCATATTGAAAATCACCTGTCAATATCGAAAATTGGTAACGACATCTTGAGAGTGGTGAGAGAAGCACGTTAGACTATGTTACCCAGTGATGATATTTTTTTTTTAGAGAAGTGAGTTACCAATCGCTGAGTAAAGTGAAATGTCTTTTTAGTTATTAAAAATGCCACCAGGGTCTTTTAAATCACAATGTTAAAATTAAAGACGTTAACGACTAACCCGGGTTTTATGTTTATATTACATTGTTTTTCAATTTTTCAAACAAACAATAGGTACAACGTGAAGTAAGTTTTGTAAACTATAATTTTTTTAATTAAATAACATTTTAATGTCTAAGAATTAAATAATAATTAGGTAAAATAATGATATAACGTAAACATTAATCTGCTTGTTGACACATATTTTTAAAATTATTTTACAATGAAAAATTACTTTTGAACTTTAAAACAATAATAAAATTATTATTATAAACTATTTTTCAATTCAAAATTTTATGATATTCAATAATTGTTTAAAATTAAAGAAAAAAAAACAGAAAATAAAATTACCAAAAATTTTAATTCTGAATAAATTGAAATATTGTGTTATTTTCAAAAATTTCTTCTAATATTTAATTATTTCTAAAATTTTCCATCTAAAACTTTTTGAAATTTGATTATTTATTTCAACTATAATTCTTTCGAAATTCAATTATTTTTAATAATAATTTTTATATTCTTCAAAAATTTAATTATGTATATGAAAACATTTTTTAATCAAAAATTTTTAAAATTCAATTTTTGACTGTAATTTCTAATGAATTCTTCATCAACAGAAATCACTGAAAATTTCAATTAAAAATCATTGAAAGTTCAATTATTACTTTTGAAAATAAACAATTATTTTTTTTTTTAAAAAAAAGATTATCTAAAATTATTTAATAAATTATTTTCAATTCTATAAAATTTAATGATTGTCTAAAATTTATAACAGAATATGTTGAAATTCAATTATTTCTAAAAATTTCAACTGTAACTCTTTCAAAATTCAATTATTTTTAATAATTTTAATAATTCCTTCAAAATTTCAATTATAGAAAAAAAAATTTAATTTTGAAAGCTGTAAAACTTAATTATTTTCCAAAATTAAAACTAAAAACTATAAAAAAATTTTAAATTCGAATAAATAAATTAATTAAATTTGAAATTATTAATTTTTATTCACATATTTTTAATTTATTTTTATTACAGGCCTCGAATTATACGACTTTTTCCGACTTTTTTTACCAAATTTTTAAACAAAATACGTTTTTTTATACTATACAATGCAGATCTTTTTCAGATCTTCTTTATTTCAATTATTTAACAAATTTTTAACTAAAATTCTTCACTAAATTAATTATTTTTAATAATTTTAATGAAATTCTTCACAAATTCAATTATCTTAAACTGTTTTTCAATTAAAATTTTTACGAAATTAAATAATTGTTTATAATTTTAAAAAAAGTTAGCAAATAAAATTACCAAAAATTTTTTAATTCAAAATTACTTGAAATTTAATTATTTGCAAAAAAATTTCTATTATTTTTAATGATTTTTTATAATATTCTTTGAAAATTTAATTATCTAAAAGCATTTTTCAATTAAAAATTTTTGGAATTCAATTTTTTTTTATGTGATTTTTAATAAATTCTTTATCGACAAAAATCACTAAAAATTTCTCTTATTATAATTATTGTCTGAAATTTAACACAATCTTTTGAAATTCAATTATTTTCAAAAATTTCAATTTAAAACCTTCTAAAATTTAATTATTTCTAAAATTTCCCTTAAAATTTTTTTTTAAATTTAATAATTTTAATTATAACTATCCTGAAATTCAATAATTTTTAATGATTTTTATAATATTCTTCAAAAATTTACGAAGCTGAAGTACGCAACGTTTATATAAACGATTGTTAAAGAAATAATTTTTTAAAATGAAAAATTCTATAATTTTTTGTCTAAAAAATATTTCTTGTAGTTTTTATTAATCAACAAATTATAAAAAAATAATTTTTAGGCAAAAAATTAAAGAATTTTTTATTTTAAAAAATTATTTCTTTAAAAATCGTTTATATAAACGTTGTGTACTTCAGCTTCGTAAAAAATTTAACTATCTGAAACCATTTTTCACTTAAAAAGTTTTCAAATTATTGTATTTTTGTCTGCAATTTCTAATAAATGTTTTAGTGAAATCATCGAAAATGTTAAATTAAAAATCACTTGAAATTCAATTAATTTTAAAAATCTAAATTGTAAATCTTTGAAAATTCAATTACTTTTGAAAAATGTTATATAAAATTATTTGATAAATTATTTTTAGTTCTGTAAAATTTAAATATTTTCTGAAAATTAACAAAATCTTTTAAAATTCAATTATTTCTAAAAAATTTCAACTTTAACTCTTCCAAAATTATTATTAAAAAAAAAATTTATCTAAAAATCTGTAAAACATGATTAAGTATTACCTGAAATTTTTTTGACCATAAAAACTAAAAACTATGACAAAATTTTAAATTCAAATAAATTGATTAAATCAGATTTAAAAAAATTATAAAAAAGCTACTTAAAGAATTTTTTTTTTTTTGAAATTTGTCCTACTTAAATAAAATTTTGAAAATTTGCCTTACAATTAGTTCGATTTTAAAATATTTAAAATAAATTTTCCTGATAATATTCATTATAAAATTATTCACATTATAGAATTAATAAAATGAATTTAATATCTAAGAATATTAGTTATTTAAAGTAAAATATTCATTGGCCAATTACATTTTGTTCAAATAAAAAAATCGACTTTTTTTGGAATATAAATTGACTGAATTTATGATTGTTGATAATAATTCTTTTCAAAATTAAAATAAAACTAATCTCGACATTAATGAATATCGAATACTAAAATGATAAGTCAATTATTAATAATCAAATATTAACTTCTGGTAATTATTTAATATTAATATTATTAATCTTATTAATACAGATTTTTTTTACATTTGAATTATCACTTTGTCAACATTATTTTTATATAATATATGGGCAAATCCACAGAACCGGCCGATTTCATGTTACTCATATATTTTTCTATTTTAGAAGTATTATATTAATTATTTTCATACTTCAACCATTTTGTAATATCTCTGAGAACCTATTGAAATAAGAAAATTGAATAAATGTGAACCTTCTAGTCTTTTATAAAAAATAAAATCGAATTAAGTAACTTAAAAAATGAAATTTACGGTGTTACTCCAGGTATAAATTTTAATTCTTATAGGTATAACTTGTTCGGCATAGATCCGAACAATTCCAAACTGTGGTGAATTATAGTTTACTTATTGAAGAATGTTTTGAAAGTAATAAAAAATATGTGCTCTTAAATAAAAAGAAATGATAGTCGTTGAAAGTAGCGTTACTCATTATTTTATAATAATGAAATGTCTATACATTTTTGTAAATATCTTTTGCGGCGATTATTCGATTTGAATTTTTCAAATTGGAGCTTATTGCTTGTGAACAGACGAACAAATGTATGTATCATAGAATAGAGTGCAATCAGAATTAAAGAAAATATTCCAATAATTATCACTCTATGTTTAAGCGTGAACCATTTTCAACTTAGCCTTTTTTCAGTAGCACAACTACAGGATAAAATATGATGAGTTGAAAACATGTGTGATTATATAAAGACATTATTATAATTCTTGTATGCAAACGCCAAATTATATTTTCAATTTATAACGTCTAAAAATTAAAATAAAAAAAAATTTATCGAAATTTAACTAGTTAATCGTGAAAAATGAATTATCCTTTCATTTGTTTTATTTTCAAAGTTATATCAAAATCGATGTCAATAATGTCAGTTTGTTGGTTAAAATAGTTAATATCAAAATTAGTAAGTAAACAATTTAATTTACAGAAATAAAAAATTAAATGCTAATAAATAAAATATATAATAAAATATGATAAAATATAAATAATTTATTTTTGATAATTAAAAAATTAATTATTTGTATTTTATCATATTTTATTATTCAAAATGTTTTGCACATATTTCAAATAATATATAAAAAAAACAAAGAAATGCCATTTTTAATTATAATTTCCAGAAGAAAAATAATATTTTCGTTTTTGGCTTTTAACTCAAACGGCATTAAAATAAAATGAATCACGCAAGAAGATAATTGTTCTTGAATATATTTTAAAGAAAGTAAACCATAAATAAAAGGTGTGCTTGCTATTTGGAAAATTTTCATCTTGATAAGTAAAAATCGGCCGGTTCTGTGGATTTGCCCATATAGTTTATTTGATCCTTTGATGAAATTTTAAAGTTTTGTAATTTTTAATAAATCAATGTCCGAACTAGAATAAACTGGATGTTGATATTCAAGAGGAATTGCTTTAACGTTAAAATTTTCTTTTAACGCTTTTTTAAAATTATTCCAAACTTTTATTTGAATTGGTGTATCCCTTTGTTCTTGGGTCATTAATATATAGGTACCCTCAATGTTGCATAGTGATTTTAATGTTTCCAATAATGGTTTTGTGGACTGAAAAACGTTAATTAATTAATTTTTCCTTCTTTTAATTTTTAAATAATGGGAAATTTTTTTTTATTTTTTATGTACTCAGTTAATTGTGTATTATTTTACGTACAAAAAAAAAGATTATATGTATACAGGAAATAAAAAATAAAAAATTAAATTATCAAATTTTCTATTTTGGTAAAATAATTTAACAAATTTTAATTTAATAATTAATATTAATTTTCTATTTTTATATTAATAAAAAAAAAAAACTTACTTCCTCATAATAAACGCAATCGGTGACAAGTACAATTTCAGGAATGAAATCCTTTGGCAATTCTTTTCCCCATTCGAAAACTTCAGTTTTAACTAAACCATTTGATTTTAGCCAGTGAATTTCATTTAATTTTACATTTTTATTTAATGCTGGCATTGCGTTTTCTAAATCAGTCATTAAAACTTTTGCTCTGAAAATAAAAATATTCTTTCAATATTATAGGGTCAAAATTAATGAAAGATATTTTTTAAAATTAAAACTTCACGTTTATATTTTGTACTATTAAATATTTAAATATGTTACTATTAAAGTGATTGTTGTAAAATTAAAATTTCTTATTTTTATTAACTTTTTTTTAAATTAAAATTTTTATTTACTTTTTTTTTTATTAATTTAATCTTTAGACTTTTGCATATCAAATATCTAATTTTTATGTGACATTGAGAACATATTTGATATCACAATCGTATAATTAAAATTTGTAATTTTTATTAAAAAATTTTTTTGAATAATTACGATTTAAAATATGTTTTCAATGTCACTTAAAAATTAGATTATACTCTTTTGATACAAAAAAAACTCTAAAGATTAAATTTAAAAAAAGAATTTAGATAATAAAAATTTTAATTAAAAAAAAATTTAATATAAATAAAAAAATTTTAATTTCACAATCGCTTTAATTGCATTATAAAATTTAAACGTAAAGTTTTAATTTAAAAAAAAATATCTACACAATTTTTATTCGTTTCCAAGTAATTGTTAAATACTTATAAAAAATTCATTAACAAAAAATTAAATCCCTTATTACTTCGAAAATAAAAAAATGTTTTTGAAAAATATTTAAATGGAAAAAAAAAAAAACTTGAAAATCAGAGACGAAAATATTTTCAGTGGCTGTCTTTATTTATTTCAGCCCTTTTCTTAAATTATTTGTACATTTATGTTAATTAAAAAATTAATAATAATAATAATAATAATAATTTAAATGTTCTCAAAGAAAAATTTTATACCCAAAACATGCAGCGGTCATTCCAACACAACCAAGTCCAGCACCAAGTTCCAAAACATTTTTTCCTAACAACCAATTTTTATCACGACATGTGAAATCAATAAATTTTGCTAAAACAATAGCAGCATCCCAAACAACACAATTAACATCGCCAATTTTTTCTTGACACAATGATAAAGTTTTTTTACAAGTTTCCAATTCTAATTCTCTTATAAATATATCGTTATCCATATTTTATTTATCTACAAACAAAGTTTCATAAATTATTCAATATTAACAAAATAAATAATACACGTGAAACTTAAATGTTTACATGTCATGCTTATTTATGTAAACAAAAAAAAAACGTTTTGAAAAGTTAGGTTATGTTATTGTTGTCGAATACGCGGCTTTATTGATGTGTATATTTTTGTAAAACATTTATAAAGAGATAAAACATTTTATATGCAAAATACAGTTTATTTAATGTATTTTTTAGTTCTAAAGATAGACATGTAAATAATAATGTTATTTTTTAAATTAAATTAATATATGCGTACATATTTGAATTCTCCCATATTTTCGATACGAAAACCACTGAAGTCAAATGAGCGAATATTGAAAATTAACCAATCAGAGAACTTGTCCAGCAAAAATGACATGTGAACAAAGCTTGTTGTCATATCATATGCCTCAGACAGTTTCCATTCTTCATTGTTGTATAGATCAATGTATTTTTGATCGTGTGTCACATGTGCTTTTTTGTTAAGAAATTGTTTTTCTTATATAGTTATTATTAATATAGAAATAAATTGTACAAAAAAATGTCTGTCCCTGAAAAAGTGTTAATGCGTAAAATTAAGAAACGAGAGAAGAAAAAATTAGAATTTTTAAAACAACGTGCCGAGGAGCAACAGAATGGTATGTTTTTTTTGAGGTTAATTCTCTTCGTCCTTTAAATGTTTATTATTCCTATTAATTATATAAATTTATATTAAAAAGGATTGAAATTTAATTTATGGAATTTTTATCGTTTTTTTTGTTAAATATAAAAGAAAAAATATTTTTTTTACCGCGTTGTGAAAAATTAAATGACGTGAATTCTTATACGAAAATTTTGTTTAATTCATTAAAAAGTTTTGAAAAAAAATTACATTTTATATTTTTTTCAACATTATCAAATTGTAAAAGTTCTGATTTTAAGTATGTGACAAATTTTGAAAAAAAGGAGAATTAGTGAATTTATATAAAATATATTTTGCAATTTTACAAGATTATTTTGGAATTCTGTTTATATTCGTCTTTTGTGTATTATTTTTATAATTTTTTATTAATTTAAATCGAAAATTAATTTAATTTTAAATGTAAGTAATTTTTATATACTACTAAAAATTAAAAAAAAAAACTATTACTAAAGCTATAACAATTTTTTTCATTTTTGATAATTTATAATTTCGTAAAATATGTGCCTGAAGTTCTGAATTTTCAGATCAAGGAAATTTTTTTTTTTCTTTTGGTCAATAAATAATTTTAAAAAATACTTGCTAAAATGAAAAATAAAAAAAAATATATATTAAACATTTAATAAATTTAAAATTTATTTTTGGATACAGAAAGCAATATTTTATAATAAAATTTGAAGTTTAAAAAGTAGTAAAACAACATTTTTTTTTCATTTAAACGTTCAGGCATATTAATAAAAAAAAAAAAAAATGTCGGTGAAGTTCGCAACTTTTCTTATCAACGATTTAGAAAAAAAATTTATCATATTTCAAATTATTATAATTTTTTGTATTAAAAAAATGTTTCGTTTCTCGATCATTAATTTTCAATAGAAAAATTTATAGGCAAAAAATTCATTATTTTCCAAATGAAAACTATTTTTTTTTCAATTCTTGATTATAAACGTTGCGAATTTCACCGACGTAATAAGAAGTACAATTTTTTTTATCAGGGTGTCTACGGGAAAAACAAGAATAATAATAATAAATAAAATAATAATTTTTTGTGAAACTGATTTTTTTTTTGCTTTTCTTTTTGAAAATATTTAACATTTGGAAATAAATTGAAACCGATTATTAAAGAGATTACAAAATGAATTCTCCCTTTGTTTTAAATAAAAAAAATTTATTTCTGCAAAAATTTGTGGACACTTTGATTGTAGTTAAAAAAAATTTTATTTTTGCTAAAAATTGTTTTATATTTTAAAGAAAAATCTAAAGACACTGAAAGCGAAACAGAAGAAGTCAAAGTGACAAATGGACTTGGAGTGAAAAGGAAAAAGAAAGAAGATGTTGAACCAGTTAAAAGTCAGTATTAATTTATTTTTTAAATCTACCTTTTAAATATTTATTATTATTTGTCTTATTTATTTAATGAAAATTTATTTTTAAATTTATTTAATGAAAAATGCAAATAATTTTTTTGTTTATTCATTTGTTAAATTATTATTTTTTTCTTTTGCAGAAAAAAAGAAAAAGGTTAAAAAGAATAAAGTAGAAGTGGAATCCATAAGTGATGAAGAAGAAGAAAATGAGGAGGAAAAAGAAGAGACGGAAGAAGAAAATGGAGAAATTACCGAGGATGAAGAAAAAGATGATGAAAATTTAGAAAAACAAAATAATACAGATAAATTTGAAAATTTTACTTGTAAGTATTTCAAAAAAAAAAAAAAATATTTCAATTTAAATTTTTGTTAATTATTTTTCGTTTTTTAACTTTATTTTTTTGTTGCACAGTGCCAGGTTGTTCAGTTGGTTTAGAAGTATTTAAAAATCCAGAATTTTCATCATTGGAGGATAAAATTTGTGAGAATACATTAAAGGGAATTAGTGATATGGGTTTTACAAAAATGACAGAAATACAAGCACGTTCAATTCCTTCGTTACTTGAAGGCAGAGATCTTGTTGGAGCAGCAAAAACTGGATCTGGAAAAACTTTAGCTTTTCTTATACCCGCAATTGATCTCATTTATAAACTCAAGTTTATGCCTCGAAACGGTAGGAACTAGTTTATTTTTTTTTATCGCCATTGATTTTTTTTTGATAATTTTTTATTTTATTGTTTCATTAAATTAATTAAAATAACTTTTCTTTTTAAATTAATTAATACAATGAAATGAATAATTGAAAAAATTTTTTTGTTGCTTTTATTAATATTTTATGTAACAATTTTTTTATATTAGAATTTTTGTTATAATTAGAAAATTTACATTTTTTTCCAGGAACTGGATGTATTATAATTTCACCAACACGTGAATTGGCAATGCAAACATTTGGTGTTTTAAAAGAATTAATGAAATATCATTTTCACACATATGGATTATTAATGGGTGGAACTGATCGAAAAGCAGAGGCTCAAAAAATTGCAAAAGGAATTAATATTATTGTTGCAACACCCGGACGACTATTGGATCATCTTCAAAATACTACAGATTTTTTGTATAAAAATTTACAATGTCTTATTATTGATGAAGCTGATCGTATTCTTGATATTGGATTTGAAGAAGAAATGAAGCAAATAATCAATCTTTTGCCAAGTGAGTTTTTTTTCTTTTAATATTAATGTTTGAAAAAAAAAATTAAATAAAAACTTTTCCGGTTATTTTTTTTTGTTTAGAAAGAAGACAAACAATGCTTTTCAGTGCAACACAAACAAAAAAAACGGAAGCATTGACAAAATTAGCTTTAAAAAAAGAGCCAATTTATGTTGGTGTGGACGATGAGAAATTACAAGCAACAGTTGATGGTTTAGAGCAAGGATACGTGATGGCACCAAGTGACAAGCGATTTCTTCTATTATTCACATTTCTTTGCAAAAATCGAAATAAAAAAGTTATGGTCTTTTTTAGTTCGTGTATGTCTGTTAAATATCATCACGAGCTTCTAAATTATATTGATCTTAAAGTCCTTTGTATTCACGTGAGTATTTTTTTTTATATTTACAAAAATAGTAATTTTTTTTTTTATTTTTATAAGAATGAAAAAAAATTTTATTTGTAATTTTCTTTTTTTTTTAAATTAATTTTTTTATATAACTTTAATTTTCAGGGCAAACAAAAACAAACGAAACGAACGACAACATTTTTTCAATTTTGTAACGCTTCCTCGGGAATTCTTTTGTGCACAGACGTTGCCGCGAGAGGACTTGATATTCCTGATGTTGATTGGATTGTACAATATGATCCACCCGATGATCCTAAAGTAAGTTATTTAATATTATCTCGAATTAAATTTAAAAAAAAAAAAACTCTTTTTTATTTCCATTTATTTCTTCTTTAAAAAGATAAAAAATTAATTAATATGATCTTGGGAAGGTAAAATTTGAATAAAATTCAAAAGTGTGTCGTTAAAGAAGCGACATTTCGTTGGCTAAGGTTTGCCAATATCATCAGGCTAAAAATTTATTAAATATATATAAATTACACTTCAAATTATATAAAGGTCCAAAAATAAATTAAACATTGTCAAAGAATATAAAAATCGTTCCACACTTTTATAGAAATAAAATTTAGACATACAGAAATTATATTGAGAGAACAGTTCACTGGCAACTAAGAAATTAGAATTTACCCAATTAAAGTCATAATTAAAACCTATTCGATATCGATAAACTACAGAATTATCATTGACTTTTTTACACTCTTTGATGCAAGTTTGTAAAGATCGTTTTGTTTCTCCTATATATATGTTGCAGGGCAGTCTTTACAATCAAATTTATATACAACATTCGTTCTGTCCCATTTTTTGGTTTATATCTTTACCTAATTTTATAATAGAATTAAAACTATTGTTTTAATAATTATTAGGGTGGCCAGGAAATTATTTTTTTAGAATTTTCTTGCTGCCGCCCCCTAGAATTGTTCCAAATGGAAAATAAAGAGACCCGTATTTTTTTATTTTGAAATTAGTTAATATTCAATGGCGCCGCCAGGCCCTTGAATTTTCCCATGTATTTTATATGGGGAAAAGCTGCTTTTTCGCAAAAATTGCAATAAAATTGTTAAAAATTAATATTTTTTAATCGGCAAACAATATTTCTTTTCAAGAATGTCCAAACTATGAAGTTCTAATAATTATTACAAAAAAAAATTAATTTAACTATTTTTTACAGGGCCGCAAAAAACCCCATAATTGCAAAAAAAAGTAAAGTTCGTGTTTAAAAGTGTTTCTAATGATTTTATCGCTTTTTTTATAGGTTTTATTTGTTATCGAGTTACTCATTATGACTGATGATTTGATGAACATTTAAAAATAGTTACAAAAATTATTGTTGTTATTGTTTAATTTTTCAAAATAAAACTATGATGATGCAGATTTTTCAAAATTTTACAACTTACCTTGTTGGCTAACATAACAAATAAAAAGTAATTGTCAAAAATTAACCATGTCATTTGTTTAAACAAATTATTATTGTTATTTATTACTCTTTTAAACACAAACCTATGAACTCGAAGTTTTTTCTCAATAATTTTAAAACTTTCGTTGCTGGCTACAATTACTAGTGTTGAGAAATTATCAAAGTGTAAAATTAAAATTTGTTTAAACAAATTATTGTTATTATTCATTGCTTTTCTAATAATAATCAACCAATCTTTTAAAATTTCATGCGCCAGAATCGTATTTAACAGGTCAAAATATAATATAAAATTCAGAAAAAACTTTTTAAATAATCAATGAATAACATCTCTCTTAATTTGAATCAGTGGAATTTTCACTATTTTGGGCTCAGTAACCGACTTCTAGCTATTTCACTCATCGAAACAGGCAGAAGTCGTTTTCTGAATCCAAATCAGTGAAAATTTTACTGATTCAAATTAAGAGGGAACAATAATTAGTTTAAAAAAATTTTAATCTAACACTTTGATAATTTTTCATCACTAGTAATTGTAGCCAGCAACGAATGTTTTAAAATTATTGAGAAAAAACTTTGACTTCTTAGCTTTGTGTTTAAAATATTAATAAATAACAATAATAATTTGTTTAAACAAATGATATTGTTAACTTTGACAATTACTTTTTATTTATTATGTTAGTCAGCAAGGTAAGTTGAAAAATTTTGAAAAAACTGCATCTTCATAGTTTTATTTTGAAAAATTAAATAATAACAATAATAATTTGTTTAAACAATTTTTAAATGTTCATCAAATCATCTGTTATAATGAGTATCTCGATAACAAATAAAACCTACAAAAACAAAGCGATAAAATCGTTAGAAACACTTTCAGGGTGGCCAGCCAACCGGGAGAACCGGGAGAAATTTGAATCGGGAGAAAACCGGGAGAAAGCCGGGACTGAAAAATTAATCCGGGAGATTTTATATGAGCCAAAAGTTTTGAACGTTCAAATGAGCAAAATATTTTTTTCAATCTATAAATTATTTAGAAATTATAATGTCAATGTAAAATAAAACAGTAAATTAAACAAATATGAAATTAATAACTTCTTTTTATATATTTAAAACAATATTTTGTAATAAAATTCGTACTTAAAGAAGTTACAAAACAAATTTTGTTCATTTGAACGTTCAAAACTTTTGGCTCATGATTTTATGGGTTTTGTGATTCGCACAATTATTCAAAAATTGTTCAACTTTAAACCATCTAAAATTTCGTGTTAATTATGTAAAATATATGAGCAATTCCACGTGAGATTGAAGGGTCTATCCTCCGATTCCATCTATACTACGTGTAATCTAATTCTGTGTCAAAAAAAGAATATTAAGTATTACTAAAAATCGAAAATTAATTATAAAATGTTATTTAGAGAAAGACTGAAAAATACCGTGCCGAGAAGGTATGAAACCTCCGCTAAGTAAACGGAGCCCTATAATAATTTTAAAAATTAAAAACAAATTTTAATTTTTAAATAAATAAATAAATTAAAAAATTTTAATTTTTCAAAATTATTTTTTTTCTCTTAAACTTCAATATTTTCTGAGCAAAAAACGTTTAGGAAATTTTTTTCTAGGACTAAAAGTGAAAAAGTTATGAGTAATTGAAAAAAAAGTTGCACTAATTTTTTAATGCAAATATCTCGAAAAATAATAAATATTTTTTTCAAATTTTTTTTACTCAATTAGACCCATAACATCTACCCAAAAACGTAGTATAGAAGGAATCGGAGGATAGACCCCTCAATATCAGGTGGAATTGCTCATATATCATCAACAAAAATTAACTATTTTTATTTCTCACAATACAACATTTTTTAATTCTGCACTGAAAGAAAATATATAACAAAATTTCGTAAATACTTTTCAATTTAGGGAAAACGTGTCAAACTGGAAAAAAATGATATAAAATATATTAAATCTCAGTAAAGATTTTGTATAATTACTATAAATTATGTTGAAGTTCGTAAATATTTACTAAAATTTGAAATACATTTCTTAAAGACTGAAAAATATTTTCAGAAGTATATTATTTTTTGTATCAATATTTCCTATTTTTACACGTTTTCCCTAAATTGAAAAATGTTTACTAAAATGTCTACTATACTTAATAAAATTTGTTATATATTTTATTTCAATGTACAGGAAAAATGTATTTTAAAACCGGGAGAAATCTCTAATTTCAATCGGGAGAAAACCGGGAGGAAAAAGTTCTAAAAATAGTGGCCACCCTGACTTTTAAACACGAACTTTACCTTTTTTTGCAATTATGGGATTTTTTGCGGCCCTGTAGAAAATAGTTAAATTAATTTTTTTTTGTAATAAATATTAGAACTTTATAGTTTGGGCATTCCTGTAAAGAAATATTGTTTGCCGATTGAAAAATATTAATTTTTAACAATTTTATTGCAATTTTGCGAAAAAACAGCTTTTCTCCATACAAAATACATGGGAAACTTCAAGGGCCTGGCGGCGCCATTAAATATTAAATAATTTCAAAATAAAAAAATACGGGTCTCTTTATTTTCCATTTTGAACAATTCTGGGGGGCGGCAGCATGACTATTTTTTTTGGGCCACCCTAAATTAATTATTGTTTTGCTTAATTTCAATTTTTGTTGCAATTATTTTGAAGAAAGTACGAATTTTTAACAAAAATTGTAATAGACAAACCCGTTTAGAGTGTGATTTCTTCTTATTCAAATTTTTCTCTAATCGAATTAAAACATCTCACGCAAAACAGGCGAATTTTTCGCCAACTGATGTTGCCAAAAATTTCCACAATAAAAGCAATCCACGACAATGTGTATCCAATAGCCAATACATAAGTAACAATTAGAAACAATTTTTCCTTTGAGATATTTTCTGGTGGTGGCGGAAGACTCCGTTGCTTAACAACATCAACATTTATCAATTTTTCCAGTATTCCAGATTCTAATGCATGCAAAATTATTTCGTTGAAACGATCAATGTATGGTGAATTTATTCTTGCTTGCCAGGTGTTTGTGTAATAAATCAACGATTCTTGAAGTATTTTCATATTCAATTTTTGTGTTACAGTCTTAAAATGCTGTACATTACTTTCAACTTCTTCTATAATACAAGTTACATTTTTATGATCAGTCATGTAACGAAGGCAGGCAAATTTATTTCCAATACCAGGAATTTTAATAGCTTTTCTGCCTAATTCCTGAATTTCAGTTAGAGGATTAGTCTGCAGAAAGCTTCTTAAAAATGGATCTATCATAGGTGTCAAAGATGAGCTAATCAGTTCTTTCAGTGTTGATATTTCGGGTTCTTCTCGCAGACTAAGATCCAAAATCACTGAGTAAAAGTAGCTTGTATATGCAATGAAACTCAGCACTAGGACACCAAAAACAATTCTTTCTACCAATTTTTCTGGCTCGTTGAAGATTGACATTCCCATTATAATTTGACTGATTTTAAACGTTTGCCATGTGTTTCTGTTGAATTTAAACAACAAGGCTGTAATTCGAATTAGAGCAATTGCACCGGCGGTAATGCAGAGCATGGTAATCAATTCCTGCGAGACTACGACAATTTTATTAGTTGATCTTGTATTTAATGGAATCACAGCTTTCACAGCACTTAAATACATGACGCGCATTAATGGAATGTTCACATTTGTAACATTGTAGTTCATTATAATTACGGGTATCAAATTCATTTCTAGTTCGGTTTGATATAAAATATCTGTTTTCATTTTCCTGTTTATATTTCTGGAATAAACTATTTTCCAATTGCCATTCATAACTTTTGAAAAAAGATCAGCAAATTTTACAAAGTTTGCA